CCCCAAAACCCCAAAACCCCAAAACCCCAAAACCCCAAAACCCCAAATAAATCAAATTTTGAGAATTCATTAGTGTAGTTGGTAATAATTCTAAAGCCCTACAGTAGAATTACTCAAATCCGACATCATTCTCCACATTGGCAACTCTAGTATCGAGCATGACTACTGACTGTTGGAGCTTGGTCTTCTCCTGAGTCAATTGGAATAGTTGCTGCTGCAAGAATTTGACTTCGTTGTTATCCATCTCAACTAGCTTTTTGAAGTCCTTATCGAGGTTAGCAATGTCCTCAAGGATTTCCTTCAGGATTTCATTAGTGGTCTCCTTGTTTTTAGCCTCAAGTGTTGCACACTCTGATCTCAAAACTTGCATTTCTTTCTTATTGTTGTTTAACTCTGTTTTGCCATCCTGAATCGATTTCTATATAATATGAATAAACAGGTTGCAGCAGAGCGACTCCAGACAGCCGAATTCGATACAGCCAAGGCTGGTATGATGTAAGTAAGGATTGGAATCATTTCGTACCTCAACCATCTTCACTCTCTGCTTGATTGGAGCTTGTGATCCACCCATGGTTTTAGCATGTTCTATGAAAATTTAGACCAAAATCTATGAAACTATGCTATGTTCCGTTATAGATCAAAACTTTCAGGAATTTGGATATAGAAGATTCAAGGGATTCTTCACTATTATTGGACAGAAATATCTAGATTCTCCTGAACAGTCTTCAAAATTGCAAAAGCGGAAGTATGAGAACTGCAAAGTCCTTGTTTATAAGTAATTAGGAGAGTAGGGTCACTCATGCTGTTCTCTGCTTAGTGGAGCTGACACACTAAGCTTGGGTTATATCTATCCCTCTCGCATTTATAATCACAGTAATATAAGCAAAATAAAATATATTCTGTAGCCTTACGTGAGCTTCTGCTTGGAGATCCTTCCATCTTCAACTGTATAATATTTTTAATTTATTTTCAAAGAAATAAAAAAATATTGGGGTTTTGGGGTTTTGGGGTTTTGGGGTTTTGGGGTTTTGGGGTTTTGGGG